TTATCCATTTCTTCTAGGTTCTCTTGTGTTGTGGCATACAGACTTTCAAAGTAGTCTCTGATGATCTTTTGAATTTCTTTGGTTTCTGTTGTTATATTCCCCTTCTCATTTCTGATTTGGTTAATTAGGGTTCTCTCTCTCTCTTTCTTTGTGAGTCTTGCTAGTGGTTTATCTATCTTATTTATTTTCTCGAAGAACCAGCTCTTGGTTTCATTGATCTTTCGAATTTTTTTTTTTTTGGGAGGAGGCTTTCCTTGTCGTTGATTTCTGCTCTAAGTTTTATGATCTCTTTTCTTCTGCCTGATTTGGGTTCCTTTTGTTGATCCTTTTCTAAGATCTTGAGCCATGAAGACAAGTTGTTTATGTGGGCCCTTTCTTCCTTCCTGAGAAATGCTTGCAGAGCTATAAATTTTCCCCTTAATAGGGCTTTAGGTGCATCCCATAGGTTCTGGTAGCTCGTATATTCATTCTCATTTGCTTCCAGATATCTTTTGACTTCATCCCTGACTTCCTTTGTAACCCACTCGTTGTTTAACATTGAATTGTTTAATTTCCAGGTGTTTGATTTGGTTCTCCATGTCTGTGTGCGATTCACTTCTATTCTCAGTGCATCGTGGTCTGAAAAGATTGTTGATACTATTTCTATCTTCCTGATTCTATTGAGGTAAATTTAGTGTCCTAGCATATGGTCTATTTTGGAAAATATTCCGTGTGCACCGGAGAAGAATTTGTATTCTTTATTTTTGGGGTGTAAAGCCCTCTATAGGTCTATAAGCCCTCTCTCTTCTATTTCTTCCTTCAGAGACAATGTTTTCTTGCTGAGTTTTGTTCTTGTTGATCTATCCAGAAGTGATAAGGCGATGTTGAAGTCTCCGGCTACTATTGTGTTGCTAGCAATGTCTTCTTGAAAATCTGTTAGAAGTTGTTTCAGATTTTTAGCTGTTTTCTCATTAGGTGCATATACATTTAAGAGTGTTATTTCTACCTGTTATACATATCCTTTGTTGAATAGCAAATAGCCTTCGCTGTTCCTTCCAATCTTTTTCAACCTGAAATTTATGTTGGCGGATACTAGTATGGCCACCCCAGCTATTTTGAGGGTGCTGTTTGCTTGCAGGATTGTTTTCCCTTCTTTATCTTTGAGTCTGTGTTTGCTCTGGCTGTTGAGATGGGTTTCTTGTAGGCAGCAGAATGTTGGGTTCTGTCTCTGAATTCATTTTGCCACCCTGTGTCTCTTAATTGGTGAATTTAGACTGTTGACATTAAGAGAGATTATTGTTATGTGGTTTTGTGTCATCTTTCTGTAAGGATCTGTTGTGCTTGTAGGGCTTGTCTAATCTTATAGTAGCCCCTTTAGCCCTTGTTTTAGGTTTGGTTTTGAGTCTATGAAGTTCCTGAGCTGCTGTTTATCTAGAAAATAGTGTACCTTTCTCTTGAGTTTGAGTGAGAGTTTAGCCGGATAGAGTATTGGTGAAGTGTTCATTTCAGTGAGTTTTTTCACTATATCCATTGCCTTCTGGCTTGGAGGGTTTCCTCTGTTAGGTCTGCTGTGAATCTAAGGGGTGCTCCTTTGTATGTGATTTCCTTCTTTGCCCTTGTGTCTTGCAGTATTGTTTCTCTACTGTGGTATCCATGATTCTAACTATGATATTTCTTGGAGTGTTTTTGTTAGGGTCTATTTTAGCTGGCACCCTTCAGCCTCCTTGAATCTGTATGGCTGCATTGTCTAGCTCTGGGAATTCTTCAGCAATGATTTGTTTAACCGTGGCTTTTTCATTGTTTCCCTGAGCTTCTGGTACTCCAATGATTCTAATGTTGTTCCTCTTGGAATCATCTCCTAGGACTCTGATTCGCTCTAGAGCTATTTTGAGGTCTCTTGTCATTTTTTGTTGTTGTCTATTGGCTTGGTGCAGCTGATCTTCCAGCTCACTGATTCTGTCTACAGCTGTTGTCATTCTACTGTTGAGGGCACAGACTGAATTTTTTATTTCATCTGCGGAATCTTTTATTAGTGACATTTCTGTGCGTAGCTTTCCAATTTCTGCTCTCATTTCTTCCTATAATTTCTCGATTGTTTCTCTCATGTCCTTTAATTTACTGAATTTCTGTGTCACTATTTCATTAAGTTCATTGAACATCTTCATTACTTCATATCTGAATTCTTTCTCAGGGAGGTCCCTTAGATGAGTAGCATCTACTGAGGCTTCTGGACTCTCTTCATCATCTGCCTCTCATGGTGGGGATTTGCGTAGTTTCTTCATTTGGTGTGTAGGTACAGGGACTGAGATGTTGCACGAGATTTCTGGGTCTGAGTAAAGTACCTGTGGCCCAAATTAGGCCAGGCCCTCCTCTACAGAAGCTATGCCCACTTCTGCGGAGGCCACACCCCCTTAGGTACTTGGTTGTGGGGGGGGGGTACAACCTGGGAGGGAAGAACCAGCAGCAGCGCTGGTAATAAAAAGTAAGAGACTCAGGGATGCTTGGTGTCCTGGGGTGAGTATGCGGAGAAAGCCAAGTCCTGGGTTTGAATACTGACAGATAAACTGACCTAGGTGGGAAGAAGACCAGTGCAGCGTTAGGGACAAACAGAAAGTGTCTCGGGGATGCTGGGCATCCAGGGTCCTAGAGGATGCCTGGGGCGCATGTGTGGAGAAAGCCAATTACCGGGTTTGTGTACTGACAGATAAACTACCTGGGGGCTAAGAAGACATGTTTGGTCTTTTATCTACTTTCAGCATACATCTTCTATCCCGAACGATCACCCTAACCATAATTGACTAGTGATACCTTTTCTATTCCAGCTGCCTTTTCCCTCAGCTCATGTCATAGGCTTCCAACCATGGGCAATATTCCTGGCCCTTGTATTTACTGTCCATGGGTGTCTGTCTCACATTATGTTATCTTTTATTCCACAAATGAGGGTAGTCATTCTATGTCACTCTCTTTCTGACTCATTTCCCTTGGCATGATACTCACCATGACCATCAACTTATAAGCAAATTTCATAGCTTCATCTTTCCTAACAGCTGCATTAGTAGTCAATTGTGTAGATGTACTAAAGTTTCTTTAACCAGTCATCTGTTCTCAGGCAGTCGTGTTGTTTCCAGATTCTGACTATTGTGAACTGTGCTGCAATGAATATACAGGTGCTGATGTCATTTCTACTGTGTTCTTTTGCACCCTCGGGATATATTCCCAGAAGTGGTTTTGTGGGATCATATGGAAGCTCAATTTCTAGTTTTTTTTTTTAAGGAATTCTCATATCGTTTCCCTAAAAGACTGCACCAGTCGGCATTTCCACCAACAACGAGAGTCCCTTTTCCCCCACATGCACACCAGCACTGCTTGTTCTTGTGCTTTTTGATGTGTGCCAATCTCTGTGGTGTGAGATGATATTTCATTGTTGTTTTGATTTGCATCTCCTGATGATTAGTGATGTAGAGCATTTTTTCATATGCCTTTTGGCCATTTGTATTTATTTTTTGAGGAAGCTTCTGTACATTTCTTCTCCACATTTTTTGTTAGGGTTGGAGGTTTTTTCCTTGTATAATTCTACTAGTGTCTTGTATATCCTGGATATTAACCACTTATCAGATGGGTATTGGGTAAATATTCTTTCCCATTCTATGGGCTCTCTCTGTATTTTGGTCACTGTTTCTTTTGAGATGCAGAAGCTTCTTAGTTTAATATAGTGCCATTTGTTTATGTTTGTTTCCACTTGCTTGGTCAGTGGTGTTTCATCCTTAAAGATGCTTTTAGCTTCAATATCATCAAGGGTTCTGCTTACATTTTCCTCCATGTACCTTATGGATTCAGGTCTGATATTGAGGTCTTTAATCCACTTTGATCTGAATTTTGTGCCTGGCATTAAACAGAGGTCAGAGTTCATTTTATTGCAGGTAGTTGTCTAGTTTCCCCAGCACCACTTGTTGAAGAGGCTTTCCTTGTTCCACTTCACATTTCTTGCTCCTTTATCAAAGATTAAGTGATCATATATTTGAGAGTCTGTGACAGTATATTCGACTCTATTCCGTTGGCCTGCCGTTCTTTTCTAGTCCAATACCTTGCCATTTTAATTACTACTGCTTTGTAGTAGAGTTTGAAGCTGGGAGAAAGTGATACCACCCATCTTTTCCCCCCCAAGGATTGCTTTAGCTATTCATGGGGGTTTATTGTTACATATGAACTTCAGGAGTGTTTTGTCTATTTCTTTGAAAAATGTCATGGGTATCATTTTAGAGACCACATTAAATCTGTATAGTGTTTTGGGGGAGTGTTGCCATTTTTATAATATTAATTCTCCCCATCCATGAGCAGGGGATGTGTCTCCATTTCCTAGTGTCCTCTTTTATTTCCTGAAGTAGTGTTTTGTAATCTTTGTATAGGTCTTTCATCTCTTTAGTTAATCTGATTCTGAGGTACTTGATTTTCTGAGGCACTATTGTGAGTGGTATTTTTTTAAAAATACCTCCTTCTGTTTCTTTATTTGTATATTGGAAAGCCATGGACTTTTGGGTGTTGATTTTGTAGCCTAAGGCTTCAGGTTTTAATTCATTCACTATGGTTTGGTCTGAGCCAGGGGTCATGTTTCTTTAGTATGTCTGTCCATTTTTCTAATGCCACAGGAACTTGTCATCCCTTATATTTTAAAATATATTCCTTGTTAAACTTCTCCTCTTCATCTTGCATTTTCTTTACTCACCCCTTCTCCTAGCCCATTCTCTATCTTGCTACCTCCGGAATATTTCTGAAACATAGATCTTTTGAGCAGTTAAGGGTAATTGTTTTAAATTACCTTTAACCACATTGCTCTAAACTGCCTCCATGTGAAACAGTGCCAAGGTGTGCCAAGGGTTTGTTCATCTTGGAAGTTTAGTGTATTCACTCCTGAATAAGTGAACAGGTACATGGAACCACAGCAGGTTGATTATTTTGACAATAGTCATTTTTAAAAGCATGTTTCTAAAAGAATTTATTGACGTCATCAATGTCTATTTCAGGTGTAAACTGGAACTTGAAATCAAATCCTTTCTCAATGAAGAGAATATTGGAAATGAATGTCTTTCTGATCTTCTGAACTTTGGTGAGGTTTAAAAAAATTTTTTTTGATGGGGTTTAGGGCTACAGCTGGCAATGCTTAGGGGTTACCTTGACTTTGCACTCAAGAATTTGTCCTGGTGGTGTGTGGGGGACCACATGGAAAGCCAGGGACTAAACCCAAGTTCAGTGTGTGCAAGGTAAATGTCATACTCAGTGTACTATTGTTCTGGCCCCTCAGGGATCACTCTTGGTGGGTTCTGAGGATTTTGTGGGGTGCTGGGGATCAAAACCAAGAGCGTGCAAGGCAAGTACTCAATGTACTATTGCATCAATCACTGAGTTTTGGTGAGTTTGGTAAGATTTTTAAGTAGATTAAAAGTGGAGTTATGTTTTTAAGATGAAAGTGAGCTACTCAAAAATAATTTAAAAAATAATTTAAAAAACTTTTTAAAGAAAGTGGGTTTTTGTTCATTTAATATTAACTGTTGTTTGTCTTTCTAAAGAAATTTAAAAAGTAATCTGTAGTCTACTCACCTGTTATTGAAAAAACAAAAAAATAATGTATTGCCTTGTTTTTTTTTTTGCCAAAGAACAAGAGTTATCAGAACAATGGCACATCTATCTTGAAAATGTGATAAATCCTATTGAGCAATTGAGAGAAGACCTAAAATATAGACAGCATCACACTGTAGAGGATTCACACGCACACAGTGAGTTTAACTCAGTGGCAATACTGAAAGAGGTCAGTCTTATTTAATATAATTTTTGTTTTGCATAAGGAATATTTAATTTTGGTACCAATGGAATAGTGTTATATAAAGAACGCATGTGTTTTTCTCCCCCCCCTCCATATGTCTTGTGTATTAAAACAGAAGGTACAGCAAATTATGCCACTTAATATTTTCTTGCTTTCTATTTGGCTCTTGCACCCCACCTGGCCATGCTGGGGGTTACTCCTAGCTCTGTGCTTGGATGATGTTCCTAGTGGCAGTCGTTGAATCATAAGGTGCCAGGGGATGTAGCCTGAGCTTTCCACACAGAAACCATATACTCAGCTGTTGAACTACCTGTCCAACCCCTCTACTAAATATCTTACTAATATCCCTCTATCTGTCTAAATACACTCATTTCTGTCATAGAAGATTGCAGTACTTTCATGCTGATTTCCTTATTTTTATTCTGATCCTTCCTCCTGGTGCATGCTGGGATCCTGTTTCCAACACAGGGAGATAGAGTTATCCCCTTGTGAACCATATTAGGGCTCTTGCTGACTCATAATCCCCAGCCTTCCTCCTATATGCATGTAGAAGGACCCCCTTCTCTTCTTCTGCCTCATCTCTACCTGATTCTTCCCCTTTCTTCTTAGACTTTGTCATACTGTTGATGATCTACTTCCTATTTTTGCTTGACTTACCTCCTCCTGATATCTATTTTTATTATTAGTACCAGACAAATACCACAATAATTGCATGAGAAATAATGTTTTAGATGATATTTCTCATTTGAATTTCCAGATATTCCTTAGTCTTATCATTTCATAAATAATAATTATTTAAAAGCAATTAAGGGTCCAGCGACAGCTCATTGTTTTAGGGAGCCTGCTTTGCATGCTTAAGCCATGAGTTTAATTTCTTGGGAAGCTGTATCAGCTAAGAATAATCCAGATAATTCTGCTATTCATGATGTCTGGTGCCACACATGATTTATGGCTTCACTGCAGTCAGGTTCAGGTGAACACTGCAGCTAAAGGTACAACCCCTATCAGCACTGCAACTACACATATGTGATCCCTTGGGAGGCATATACATGAACACCACAATTAAAGGAATGTGACCTCTTATCAACACAACCAATAAATGTGCAAGCACCATAGCCAGGTGTGTGTGTGTGTGTGTGTGTGTGAGAGAGAGAGAGAGAGAGAGAGAGAGAGAGAGAGAGAGAGAGAGTGTGTGTGTGTGTTTGTGTGTGTGTGTGACCCTTGATTGATGCAATAACAAGAACAACAACAATAAAGAAAGGGGCTGGGGAGGGACATTGTCTAAAACAAAAACAAAATGTTGTGTTAAAATGCATGTCATGCTGGGGGTTAGAGATAAGGATACAAAGGAAGGAAGGGGGATTGGAGCAGAGACAATCCCCTAAACTCTGTCTTGCTAAAAAAAAAATTCAAGTGTTGGTCCAAAGTGCCTATAACCCCACTTCCTCACTCAAAAACACCTTGGGATTCTTTTCTGATAATCCTTGTGGACTGTGGTATCTCTCAAAATCTCTTCTAGAATCCCTCCAAAGGACTTGTTCTTTTTAAAAAAAAAAATCTTAATAATATTTATGACAAATATGAATTGAGGTTGATGAATTTTTTATTTTTTTAAATTCATTTTTGTTATAGTTATATAGTTATATAGTTATATAGGGCTGGAGCGATAGCACAGCGGGTAGGGCGTTCGCCTTACAAGCGGCCAACATGGCCGACCCGAGTTCGATTCCTCCGCCCCTCTCGGAGAGCCCGGCAAGCTACCGAGAGTATTCGATATACCAGACACAGTAACAACCAAGTCTCCAATGGAGACGTTACTGGGCCCGCTCGAGCAAATCGACGATCAACGGGAGGGCCTTTACCTTTACCTTTACCTTTGTTATAGTTGGAGCGATAGCTGGAGCGATAGCACAGCAGTAGGGCGCTTGCCTTGCACGCAGCCAACATGGCTGACCCGAGTTCGATTCCTCCGCCCCTCTCGGAGAGCCCGGCAAGCTACCAAGAGTATCTCGCCCGCACAGCAGGGCCTGGCAAGCCACCCGTGATGTATTCGATATGCCAAACACAGTAACAACAAAATCTCCAATGGAGACGTTACTGGGCCCGCTCGAGCAAATTGATGAACAACGGGAGGGCCTTTACTTTTACTTTACTTTTGTTATAGTTTAGTAGCAGATTTATAACAGTGTTTAAGTATATGGATCTACAAAATTGCTGCATATCCCTGCCACTGAAGTACCTATGATCCTTCTTCCCTATCTGTCACCAGGTCTAACCTCTTTTCTCCACATCCACCACCCACATTATGTATTGAATGACAGTTATGGTTTTGGGTCATACTTTACCTCCCTTAGTCACCAACAACAGTGTGTTCCAGACTCTCCACCTATGTCAAAGAATTTGCTCTTACCTGATTTTTGCTTACTGGATTTTAGATATAATTCTATGCCTTTACATATCAATAAACACAATAATTTACATACTATTTATTTGAAACATTTTGTAGGTTGACTCTGTGAAGGAGCAATTGCGAGCTGTTTTTGAAAAACTTAGCCTAAAACAACAGAAAATAGAGAGTGATCTTTCTGACTGGAGTATGAAAGTAAGTGTGATGTGATGCAGATAGTAACTTGCTTATCAGTATGTCACTTGTGTGAATAAACAGCCATAGATTTTTTTTTCCAGATATTGGATCAGTCTTCAGAAGAAAGAAGTAATCTGCTCAGCGAACTGCCCCTCGAATTAGAAAGTTTGGAATGCCCATACCCTGATCTAAAATCTTCAATCCTTAATGAGTTCTGTAACTTTACAGAGAAATATCAAAAAAGACTTCAAGATTTTGATCTGCAGTTAGAAGACATATGCAGGTAAAAAAAGTAAAAATATAAAGTGTGTGTGTGTGTGTTTGTGTGTATTGCTAGGTTTTGAACCCATGAAAGGCATATAATTTACCTCACTGTATGTGTATGAGTTACACATCCAGCCACAAGCTCTTTATGTCAATTCCTTCCACTTTTGTTTCTGTAGGAGGTTACTAACTTATGACTTAACTGTTCTTAAAATTACCAAGCAATTAGAATATACTTAGTTAATAAATGTTTAGTTTGATTGTTGAATGGAGAAGGTTTCCCCTGCTCCATAATACGTCTTTAAAATAATTATTTTAAAGACTTTCATGAGACTGAAACATAATGAGGTCTTTACTGCACAAACAAGACATGGTTTTAAAATTTGGATTTTCTGATTACAGTAGAAAATATATTTATGAAATTATGTCACCTGTAATCTGCTGTGATTTTGTCCTATGGGGAACAGAAAAGTATGTACTGTAAATTTTTACAAATATGTCATTTTCAAAGAAAATATACTTTTTAATGTACATACTGAGAATAACAATCCTCTACTGAAAAAGGAATATAGTGTGATTTAAAACTCAGTTTTGACAGGTTCATCTTCTTTACTGTAAATTTCATATTAAAATTCACTTAATAAACAAACCATAGACATCACCATGGATCAGATCAATAGTCTACCTTCCACAGTGTTCGCTACATGAAGTTTCTGGGGAACATTTTGTCAGAAAACATGATTTTTATGCTATATTACTTTAAAATTCTCTTTAAAGAATACATACATTAAAAGGAATGAAAACGATTGAAAAGATATTTAGAGTGTTTTAAAAGTAAAATGTTCTTCCTTTGGAAAGGAAGAAAATAAATATGACAAATATTTGTATTTCTTGCATTTCTTGATGAATTGACTGTGGATGAAATTCTACGTGAAAATCATTACTGTTAAGAAGTGAAAAACAACAAAACCTAAAATTCTGCCACATGGAATTCTTTGTTTTTGCTTCTGCTTGACCAAAACTCTTGAGATACAGTTCCTGTTGCTCTCACTTCTAATCCTAGATCACCTCTGACTCTCTCTAGCATTTACTGCTTTGCTCCATCTCCATGGGAAGGGTCAGAAGTTTCGTAAATATAAGTACCTTTTGGCCTCTTAAGAGTTTCTTTCCTCTCTGATTTTCTGCCTCCCTCTTTTTCTCCCACCTTGCAATAAAGCTAAAAATAAAAGTTAATAATATATCATTTACATGAGTTGATTGATTATACTTTAATTGAAGCTGTGTCACAGTAGAATGTTAGCTCAACCATGCACTTCATTTAAGAATCTAGTTGTAAAATAAACCTACTTTTTATCTCTCCATCTCAGACTTTGTTAAAGATACTTTATTTAATTAAAAACCTTATTTGGAGTGATAGCACAGCAGGTAGGGCATTTGCCTTGCATGTGGCCGACCTGGGTTCAATTCCTCTGTCCCTCTCGGAGAGCCCTTCAAGCTACCGAGAGTATCCCACCCACACGGCAGATCCTGGCAAGCTACCTATGAATTCAATATGCCAAAAACAGTAACAACAAGTCTCACAATGGAGACATTACTGGTGCCCGCTTGAGCAACTCAATGAACAATGGGAGGACAATACTACAATGCTATTAATTGGTATCTTTACCACAGAATCTATGTTGTTATTTAATACTTGCATCATGTCCTACATCTGCACTAAGAGCATTTCACCATTAATTATCCCAAAGTTCCTGCCCCCTTCCTCTCTCCTACCTTGAAATCCTCAGATCACAATTCTATTGGCCATAGTTCTGGTTTTGTTTTTATTGAGGACTGTCTAAACCTTTGCTTTGTTTCTTTATACCCCACATATAATTGAGATGACCTGGTACTTTACTTTTTTCTTTCTGACTCACTTCACTTAGCTTTGTTTCAAGTTGCCCCATAGTGCAAAATTTCATCTTCATCAAGCCTGTGTAGTATTCCATTGTTTTTATACCACAATATCTCTCCCTACTCATTTGCTATTGGGGTTGTTGACAGATCTTGTTTATTGTAAAGAATGCTGTGATAAATATAGATGTGCATATGTATTTTTAGACTAATGGTTTTGTATTCTTAGGGTAGATGTCAGGAGCAGAATCAAGGTTTTTATTTTTTTAAATTTTATTGAATCACCTTTGAGATAGTTACAAGTTTTCATGATTGGGTTACAATCACACGGTGATCAAACACCATCCCTCCACCAGTGCACATTCCCCACCACCAATATCCCCGGTATACGCCCCTTTCCCACCTTCCCCCTGCCTCCATGGCAAACAATATTTCCCACATTCTCTCTCTACTTTTGGGCATTATGGTTTGTAATGCAGATACTGAGAGGTTATCATGTTTGGTCCATTATCTACTTTCAGCACACATCTCCCAAACCAGCCGGCTTCTCAGCCATCATTTTTTTAGTGATCCCTTCTCTATTCCAGCTGCCTTCTCCCCTTTTCCTATGAGGTAGGCTTCCAGCTATGAAGCAATCTTCCTGCCCTGTGTATCTACTATCCTTAGGTGTTAGTCTCATGTTATGTTGTTTTATACTCCACAAATGAGTTGCAGTCCTTCTATGTCCATCCCTCTCTTTCTGACTCATTTCACTTAGCATGATACTCTCCATGTCTATCCTTTTATAAGCAAAGTTCATGACTTCATCTCTCCTAACAGCTGCATAGTATTCCATTGTGTAGATGTACCAAAGTTTTTTTAACCAGTCATTTGTTCTAGGGCGCTTGGGTTGTTCACAGATTTTGGCTATTGTGAACCATGCTGCAATGAACATATAGGTACAGATGTCATTTCTACTGTGCTCTTTTGTATCCTCGGGATATATTCCCAGAAGTGATACTGCAGGGCCATATGGAAGCTCAATTTCTAGTGTTTGAAGGACTGTCCATATTGTTTTCCAGAAAGGCTGGAGCAGTTGGTATTCCCACAACAATGAAAGAGTATACCTTTTCCCCCAGATCCACGCCAGCACTTGTTGCTTTTATTCTTTTGAATGTGTGCTAGTCTCAATGGTGCGAGATGACATCTCATTGTTTTTTTTATTGCATCTCCCTGATGACTAGCGATGTGGAACATTTTTTCAAAAATATGGAACACTTCACGAATTTGTGTGTCATCCTTGCGCAGGAGCCATGATAATCTTCTCTGTATCATTCCAATTTTAGTATATATGCTGCCAAAGTGAGCACAGAATCAAGAGTTCTAAGGAAGTTATAGTCTTAACTTTTTGATACATTCCAAACTGTTTTCCAAAGAGTTGAATTAAGTAATATTCCCACCAACAGTGAATGAGAATTCCTTTTTGCCACAAGCACCCATTGTTTCATGTCTTTGACTTCCATTTCTCCAATAATCTATGAAGAACATTTTTTCATATTCCTTTTGGTCATCTTTATGTTGTCTAATTTAAGGAAGTATTATTTATCTTTACCTGTATTTTTTTTTGTTTTGTTTTGGGTGGTTTCATTGAGCTTTGAGAGTACTTTATGTATCTTGGACAGTAGCCCTTTCTATGATGTATGATATGTGAATATTTTCTCTCAGTCAGTAGGATGTCTTATTATTTTAGGCTTCATTTCCTTCACAGTACCCAGGCTTTTGTTTGTTTGTTTGTTTGATGTAGTCCCATTTGTATATCTCTACTTTTTGTTTGTTTGTTTTTGGCCAGTAAGATCCTATCATTAAAGACTCTTCTGAGGATCTTGGCGCATCCTGCCTGTGTTTTCCTCAATGTATTTGATAGAAACAGGTTTGCTATCAAGGCTTTAATTTATTTTGAATTAAACTTTTTTCAGATAGTGTGAGATAGAGGATTAATTTCTTTTTCTTCTTCTTCTTTTTTTTTGGGGGGGGGGAGATGATATCTCATTGTTTTTTTGATTTGCATCTCCCTGATGACTAGCAATGTGGAGCACTTTTTCAAAAATATGGAACACTTCACGAATTTGTGTGTCATTCTTGTGCAGGGGCCTTGATAATCTTCTCTGTATCATTCTGTAACTAGCTATCCAGTTTTCCCAGCACCCATTTGTTAGAAAATCTCTGCTTACTCCACTTTATATACCTAGGCCCCTGTTGTAAATTAATTGCCCATATACCTGAGGCTTTATCTCTGGACTCTCTATCTGTGGATTTGAGGGTCTGTCTATGTTCTTGCCAGGCAGTTTTTATGACAATGTTTGTAGTAGAGATAAAGTTGGTAAAGAGATTTTAAACCTCATCAAGAAGACAGGAAAGGTGGGGTTTTATAGTTGTTAGTGATTGGTGGGTTTTTCTTTTATTTTCTTTTGTGTGTGTATAATTGTAAATAGACTAATTGCGGTTATGAAGAAAATGAATCTGGCTCCCATTTTAAAGCAAGTTTTCTTCTCCATGATCTTGTCTCCCAGATGACTTCTTGTTCCCCTAAGAATGTTATCTGAGATTGTAGTTTCTGAGATCAGTTTTTAAACAAGAGGAGCTTGCCCCCATAAACTTGTGATGTCTTCCACTAAGGCCATTCACAGGTGATTTTTCTGTCATGCTCCTTACCTTTTTTACCCTTCCATTGTTGCTGTTATTGCAATGACCAGGGGTCATGCATGCTTGGTTGTAGTACTTGTATATGTGTTTACTGAAAGTCACAGTAAAAATTCATTTAGTTGCAGTATTCCTTATGGGCCACTGTAAAGTTCAGAGAAGTGCTGGAAATGAAGATACATTTCTGGCTTTAGTGCTAATACCTACAAACATCAATTAAAGAGCCATTTATAAATATGTTGGCAATGAATGGGGTGAAGCATTGATAAAACTGGATGAGTTTTAGGAGTAGTTTCATAGAGGAGAAAGATTAAATGTAGTAAAGGGGGCTATTTTTAATAAATACAGATTTGGTGATAGGTATCAGCCATCTGTGACTAGTAGGCAGTAAGGCATCTGAATGTACTTTTCTAACTAGGACCATGAATAATTTGTTCAATTGTGATA